TTCGTTCCCTCGAAATATTATTTCGTTCCCTCGAAATATTATTTCGTTCCCTTCGAAATACTATTTCGTTCCCTCAAAATAATATTTCGTATATGGTACGCCCACAGTGCCTTTGGCGTCAGCTGTTCGTCAGGGGTGGCGCCAGAATTTGCCCGACTGGGAGGGGGGGAGGCAGGGGCTAGGGGTCGATGCCCCGACGAGGGATCAGATTTCCCCGACGAAAGCAAAGTGGGCGTGGTCGAGCTTCTACTAAAAGGTTTCGAAAGTGGTCCTGGGGGCGAAGCCCCGAAAATGTTGACATTTTAGGGGTTTAGGGGCTTATTTAATCGATTTTAGAGTCTACTAATATGTAGAAAATACATATAATTTTTTTCTCCCCGACGAATTGTGCTTTTTCCCCGACGGTGGGGGGTGGGGAGCTTTCCCCGACGGGGAACCCTGCCCCCGGCGTCCCCTGCCTATATGCTGAGCGAGTTGAGTATAGTTGGCTTGTTCTTTTCTAATAATAATTATAATAAATAAACTTAGAGCATTTAGATTACAGTATCTGGACGGTCCAAACATTTAATCGCTCATTACTTTACAATGTGCCCTTAACACCCATTCAAAGTTCAAGACACAGTCACTATAATGGATGAAACTAAAGTGCAATCATGAATTATGTTAACGGATAGTTATAAATAGTGCCCACTGTTATCAACACTTTATGTATGTTTTTTGATTTTATCCTCAAAACAGGAGATACTCTGGTGTACAGTAGTAATAAAGGTCACGATGCGTCACTGAAGCACGGGGCACACGTGGTAATAAACAAAAGAAAATGGTGCCATCAAAAGTAAGCGTATCGTCAACAAACACGTACATTCACATTAAAAGTAAAATTTAAAAAAAAATAAATAAAATAAAAAAAACAAACAAAAAACATTATTAAGCTGCGTTCACAACATGTCAGATCCGAAAATCAGATCACGTTTCCGATGCGCTTTATTAGGCCTACCTGTCCTACCTACTGGTCCGATCAAACAATATGGATAATGAATCGGCATATTTTGTTTGGAATTGTGCCCTATTCAATACTTATCTTTTGTTACACTTCGAAGAAGATTGTGATTTACGTTTTGAAGGAAATAAATGTTATTTTTGAATTGAAAAATTGAATTGAAAAAATTGTTATGAAAATAGTAAAAATTAGTTCTCAGTATATACCGGTACTCTTAAAATATAATGAATAGGAACATACAACGGGGCGTCCTATAATACCTAAGCTGCGATCCAAGCGGCTACTTCGCCCCTGACGGCCGTCGGGGATTCTGGTGATTCCCATACTATAGCCTACTCCAGTTAGTCAATTTCGTATTTCCATGACGCACCCCCTCCCCTCCCCCATTGCAATCCTCGATACGACCTGCAAATTACCCTATTCTGAAGAAGTAATGAAATCATGAAATGGATATTAGGCTATACAATAAAGTAGGACAAACTGTTTCCATAATGACACGCTGATATTGATTTTAATAAAGCCCTGTAAGAGTTGCTATTAATGGTATTAGTAATACAGTACTGTTCGGCTGTGATGTTGAATATAATTATTTTGATAGCGTTATTAGATAAGGACCTAGTCTAAGTTATGTTTGTTCAACAAACAACTTGCTGATAAATTTACGAAGTCGCGTTAGTAGAGCAAGGGTCACTGCCAGTTATTTCAGGTTGAAACAACGGCAGTGCTCTAAGTGCATTTGTTACGACCGCCCCCATTATTACTAGATTAAGGAAAAGTTTTTTATTATTGAATATCTGTTGGCCTAATTTTTCAGGTACGTGTTCTTTCTCCAATGATTTTAAAATTGACACGATAATAAAAGGATAATAAAAAATAGTACTATATTTCTGTGATAAAGACAAACTCACAAGCGTTCTTTTGAAAAACTTGGTTTTTTTTGTTTGTTTTTGTTTTGTTTTTTTAGGTCGTCATTAACGGTCAAGTAATTAATACGTTTCCTGTATTCTTTTTGCATAGACCATTAAATTGACTGGTAATTAATTTAAGGATTTTTGTGTAAATGGCTGTAGGCCTAAATCAGCGAAAACAAAATTGTTTCGATCTGTTTTCGGTTGCAAAATAATAACACGTTTGATTGTTATTAATATTTTACTTGAATTGTTGAGGTTTTCCGAATTTTCGAAGAAGCCTATTTAAAACAAGCCGGCAAATATTCAACCATAACCAAAACCTTTTAGAATATTGCAGCTCAGCGTATAGTATAGCCATATAGTAACAATGCAATGATAGTTTACTATCAAAAGTCAATTAGTAGATTGAACTGCGAATAGTAACTATGCAATGATAGTTTATTATCAAAAGTAAATTAGTAGATTGAACTGCGAATGCATGTACTGTACTCGCACGAATAAGCGCCCAGTTTGAATATGCGACCCCTGAATATGATTTTTTTTATCAAGTCAATAATCCAATCAATCCTAGGGCTGTGGATATTTACATGATTTGAGCTGCGGAGTGGAATCACATTCTCCTTAGGTCAGTATCAAAATGAGGATATTTCTCTTGGACAGATGAGAGCTCCCTTGACAGACAGTATATTTCCAACTTTCATCTTCTTACATTTGTCTAGGGCTAGTCCTACTCCATTTCAGACAATTTGTACCTTTCTTTAACACATTCTCATCTGAATTTTTATGAAAACATGCCATCCTGCTAATCTCAATTGGCTGATGAGTAACAAGCTAACCACCACCACTAATTTTTGCTGTTACGTAAATACTCAAATTCAAATACGTAAATTTTGTGCCTGTGCTTTTTGTATTTTTTTTTTTTTTTTGATGTAACTTCTCTTTTGTAATTTTGTTGGTCTTGAACGCACCGTCAATTGACGAGTGCCACTGTAACAAAAGTGTAAGTTCAATAAAATTATTATTATTACTCAGAACATTCTTGTCGTGACGAACCATGCTCTCTGCACATCTTCTCCGCCGCACCACCATTCGTAATTTGCAGTTGTCCTTATAGGCCTATAATCGTTTTTCATTCCAAAAGTGCTTCTTGAATTTAATAAGTTCTCAAAAGAACCCTTCGATTTTAATCTATTTCCATTGTATAAGAGACCCCATTTACACTCTGTTTTCATAAGCGCTCCATTTTAATAAGTGCAAAAAATATTTTAAGCGACCGGGCGATTGTTCGCTCCAGTATAATAAGTAAGAATAAGAATAAGAATAATAAGAATAATAAGAATAATAATAATAAGAAGAAGAAGAATAATAATAAGAATAAGAATAATAATAATAATAATAAGAATAATAAGAATAAGAATAAGAATAAGAATAAGAATTTAAAATTGTATTTTTTGATGCACTGGGAAACGAGAGAGTGACATTGATTCTATTGTGATCCATTCCCAGTAGAAATAGGCTCGCCTGATGACATAAATTATCTGTCTGCTGCCCTCTATTATAATTGTTTGCAAAAACTTCATGGAAAACTTTACGAGCTGATGATGATAACAGAAAATGTCTGTTTGCCGCCCTCAATTTTATTTGTTGGGCGAACTTCGTTCATTTTAATTAATTGATTTTTAGATTGATTTATGCTTCGGTTAAAATAGAGACATAAATAATACCGTTCCAAATTAATCATATAGAACATTAAGTAAGCTGGTGTAAAATTTAATAATTTTTTTTGTATCAATTTTTTAGTTCTGTAATGTTAATCGTAGTTACCGTATTTATTCGATTCGAAAAAACGCCCCCCCTCGAATAAACGCCCCTCTAGAGCCTCATTTGGAATAAACGACTCCCTCGCATAAATGCCGCAGGGCAGGGCGTTTATTTTTACCTCGAACAAATGACTATAAACTTCTAATAGAAGCAACATCATTCCCAAAATTGAGCAGAGAGCGCTTGGCTTATTGGTATGGTTCCTGCCTCTTCCACGCTAGGCTCTGTATTTGGGTATTTTAATAACACTAGTCAAACGACTACTGTACGTGGCTGTCTTGCCTCCCCAGGTTGTGTACCTGTCTCTTATACTCATCTGGCCTA